TCCTCATGATCTGGAAGAAGGGTAAAGACTTCTCCACTGATTTAGATAGAAAGCGATTGAGGGCTGCCAGGCGGCCCGTCAACCGTTGAACTTCCTTCACATTGCGTGGGGGCTCCATGTTGATGATGGCCTGGATCTTCTCGGGATTGGCCTCAATACCCCTTCGGCTCACCCCGAGCCTAAGAATTGCCCCCCTTGGACGCCGAAGGTGCATTTCTTCGGGTTTAGCCGAAGGTTGAACTTTTGCATGATGACGAAGATTTCTCGGAAGTCGTCGGCATGGCTGGAAGATTGTTTGCTTTTGACGATCATGTCGTCAACATAGGCCTCCATGGTGCGCCCTAGGACGGCTTGAAAGACTCGGGCCACCATCCGGGTGTAAGTGGCCCCTGAGTTCTTTAGGCCGAAGGCCATGACAAGGTAGCAGAAGATGCCCTCGGGAGTCATGAAGGTTGTTTTTTCAGCGTCCTCCTCATGCATGTATATTTCATGATATACGCGGAATGCGTCGAGGAATGACATGATTTCGCACCCCGCGGTTTCATCCACCAGTTGATCAATATTGGGCAGAGGAAAGGGGTCCATGGGACATGCCTTGTTGAGATCCGTGTAGTCCACGCACATGCGGAATGAGGGCGGTTTCTGTGCGAGGACTACGTTCGCCAACCACGAGGGGTATTTCACCTCCTTGATGTGCTTGATAGAAAGAAGCATGGCGACCTCTTTCTTCACAAATTCCCTTCTCTCGGCCGAGAGGGGTCTCCTCCGCTGTTGCACTGGTTTGGCCGAGGGGTCCACCGAGAGGCAGTGGGTGATGACCCTTCGGCTGATCCCCGGCATGTCCTCCGCCCCCCATGCAAAAACAATGGAGTAGGCGCGGAGGGCGCTGATGATGCCGGTCTTCAAGTCTTCGGGGAGCTTGGCTCCAATCTTCACGACTCTCTCCGGCTTGGCCGGATCGAGCGCGAAGTCTTCTACCTCCTCGGCTGGTTCAGCCCTCGGCATTCTTTCTTCTGCTTCCACAGTTCCGGTGATGGTGTCAACGCGGAACTCCGTCTTGCTAACCTTCTTTGTGACTTGAAGGTAGCAAGCGCGAGCAAGCTTTTGGTTCCCCCTTGAGTAACCGATTCCCCCCTCGACTGGGAACTTGAGGCAGAGGTGCCTCATGGAGATGACGGCCTCAAGATCTTCGAGGGCTGGCCGGCCGAGGATGATGTTGTGGGCGCAGTCGATGTTGACGACGACGAACTCCACTTCAAGCTGGGCTCTATGGAGCCCGTCGCCGAAGATTACCGGGAGGGTTATTACCCCCTCGGAATCAATAGTATCGCCGGTGAAGCCGGCAAGAGGGGTCTTAATGGGTCGAAGGGACCCCCTCTCCAGATGCAGCTCTCTAAAGGTTCTGAGGTACATTACATTGACGGAGCTGCCCGTGTCAATGTAAGTTCGGTGAATGATGGTGTTGTTTATTTCAGTCCGAATCACCAAGGCATCCCTGTGAGGAGAAGAAGTAGGAGGGAGATCTGCGTTGGTGAAGGTGATGGGTTCCTCCCTCAGCCGCTTTACCAGGGGCATATGGGTGACTTCCCCCACGTAAAGCGATTGAGCCCACTTTTTCCGCTGGCTGGTGGAATCGCCCCCTGTATTGCCACCGGTGATCATGAGGATGTGGCGTTTTTTCTCCTGGTAGTGGGGGTACTCCTCCTCTTCCTCCTCCAAGTTTCCGATCTCCCTCTTCTTGCCGAGGGGGATGGTGTTCGGGTTCACCCAAGCGTTCACCTTCGTGTGGTGCCCTCGGGGAGGTCCCTGATGAGAAGGTCCCTCCTGCCGAGGGCTCTGGATAAATTGGGACAGATGGCCCGCTTGTATCAATCTCTCGATGACCGTCTTTAGCTGATGGCAGTCATCGGTTCTATGCTCCTGATGCCGATGATAACGACAGTAGGGGAACTGAGGGTTGATAGCATGTACCTCCGGGGGTGCGCGAGAATCGCGCTCAACGAGGCCCCTCTCCTCGGCAAAATCAAGGATGACGCTGACGGGGTGCGTCAATGGTGTCCGGGGACGGTCCAGGAGAATGGGCTGTGCCCAAGTCTTAGGGTTGTTCTTATAACCTCCCCCGGGCTTGGCTTGGCCTTGCCGAGGGCGGTCATCAGAGGGTCCTGAAGCCTTGGGTTGATTTGGAGGAGCCCTCGGCCCCTGGTTGTTCTTGTTGTCAGCCTTCGGGGGTTGATGATCTGGATGCTGGTGGTATTTCTCCACCTCCTCGGCCTCGGCATATCGGTCCCCCCGCAGCAGGGCCCTTATGTAGTCGCGGGGGGGGGGGGGGGGGGGGTTCAATGATGAGGCTCCTTGGAAAGTTGCCGGTGCGGAGGACGGTTTGTAGGAGGGCCAGGAGGGTCCCGTCGTCAGCACCGTCGACTTTGTCGGCTTCCGTTCTCCAGCGCTCCAGGAAGTCCCGAAGGGTCTCATCCTTCTTCTGGCGTATGGTTAGGAGGTGGGAAAAGTGCTTCCTCGTGCGACGCCTCCCGGTAAATTGCGTCAAGAATCGCTGGGCGAGTTCTTGCCACGAATCAATGCAGCCTTCGGGCAACCGGTTGAACCATTCGTATGCCGGTCCCTCTAAGGTGGAGAGGAACCAACGACACAAATATTCGTCTGACGCCCCTACCATCATCATGTTGTTCTGATATTTGCCGTAGTGCTCCTGGGGGTCCGTCTTCCCGTTGTAGGGCTGTATGTGTTGCCCTCGGTATTTTTCCGGGATCCGGGCCGCCAATACCCTTGGGGTAAATGGCGTTCAGGTCCGGAGCTGGATGATGGGATCCCCGGAGCCCTCGGCTACCTTCTTCTGCAATTCTTCCATTTTGGCCATCATGGCCTCGTACTTGAGGTCTGAATGAGGGGTGGAGGCGGTGGCGTGAGCTTGGTTGGCCTCCATTTCATCAAGTCGGCGTTGGAGGGCCGCAATAATTTCGTCCCGGGGATCCTTCGGGAGGGCCTCCGCCCCCGCGAACGAACCCGGGCCGAGTGGACCTGGTTAATTTGGTGGCGAGCATCGTCGGCATGAAGGGGTGCCTTGCCTTTGCCCCGAGGGGGATGCTCCTCGTCTACCCTCGAGACAGACCCTCCGCTTTCCTGGGGCCTTTGGAGTGTCTTTCCTCCGAGGCGGTCTTGGACCCCTCGGCGGTCTTGCCCCCCTCCGAGCCGGTTGAGGGCGGAAGTGCGAGGCCTTTCTCTGTTGTCATTGTGGCGGTCCCGGGACTGAACTTCCTGGGAGGCCGTATCTTGGGCCACTACCCCTTCGTCATTCCCAATCCGAGGGATGGGGTTTCCGAAGGGGTGTGGCAGAGGGGGAAGCATGATGTTCTCCCCAACCTGGGGTTGAGCCAGAGCCAGGGTGCCGAAGGCACCCGGGTTCTGAGTGAGCGTCTGGATGAAGGCGGAGAGCGCCGAATGAACGTCGATGGTGAGGACCGGAGGGCTGACTTGGTCATCGCTCCGGTTTTTCTTCTTGGCCTCGATGCCGAGGCGGGCATCGGGGGCATTCTGCTGGATCTGAAGGCGTAGGTCGACAGCCGCCTGTTCCAGCTCAGCGATGACACCGCCCTCGGGAGTCCTGTGAGAGGCTTCGGGGGCGTTGACGTCGCCGAGGGCCAGGTTCTTGTCTTCTACGTTTTTGGAGTTGGCACGTGTTGTTCTCACCATTTTGGTAGAGGGCTAGTGTTTGGCGAAGGGGGAGGGTTCCTTACTTGATTGTTCGACCTCTCAACGAGAGCACCAAATGATGGATAGTGTACCCGGGGGTAGCTTATCCGAGGGGTTATTACGGGGAGTGATAAGAGAGAAGTCAGAGCAAGCAAATATAGAGAGAGAAAGTATATTATAAAGTGTGGAGCGTTTTCAGCGTGGTTACAAATGGGGAAATGGGGTGCTATTTATAGTAGCAATAAATGCCGGACAGGGACACGTGTCAAGCGTCCATTGGCCGAGAGGTCACCTCAACTGGTTGGCGCTGGCAACCGCATGTGGCCGCATTTAATGCGGTTGGTTGATGGGACGTTGTACTTGGTACGGTGACCCAGATGCGCGTGGAGGGAAGATCCTGTCGAGTGAGGTGCCTTCGGGCACACTAGTGCCGAAGGCTCTCTGTTGCCGAGGGCACACTAGTGCCGAGGGCTGCTGTTTTTGCCGTTTTCTCCCAGTTTCTTAGTTTGCTTGAAAAAACCGTTCTGTGAGAGGTTTGAGCCTTCGGCCAGGGGGGCGAAGGCTCCCCAGTGTGCGCTGTGGGCTGCTAAGTGTTTGGGGCGCCGTAATTTGGGCCTGCTGTGCTTCCTGGGCCGGTTGGGCCTTTATTGGTGTAGTAGGAGTCTGTGGGCCGGGGGTTCCCGGACCATATACTCCATCAAAAATATATTAAAAATATTTCAAACACATATTGTGCTATGATAGAATCACAATAAACTATGATTATGAATTTATTTAAAATAGCACAATTGAATTAAAAATATCATAAATGATACTAATGATGAATATATATGCTAATTAAATTCAATTTATGTCATTAATTGAGAAAGTAAATTACCTAATGTAACTTATATTGACTCAAACAGTGCCAAACAATGTCTAAACGGTGTTTTCTACAGTAAAGTTAATTTATTTCCTTAATAATCGGGAAACGGAGGGAGTGATATAATAGGACTAAATTGGGAAGACACGGACTAAATTAGCGGTATTTCTCTAGAGATTAGGACAAAATATCACAACTGCGCAGGCAGCACAGACGGAAATTCACAACGGTCTGTGGCGGAAGCTAAATTACAGAAGTTTCCCTGCACCGAGAATCCAACCAGCCCTTTGATACCCACACTAAAAGGTGAAACTGGTCCATTTCTGAAAGAAGTAGTGGTTGCACGTCTACTTGGCCAGCACGCAAATTATTCATTTCTCTTCATACTTTCAAAAGAAACAAAAATGAAAACACTTGGCCAGCACGTCAAGAGCAATTACTGGTCCTTTCTTTATCTATAAATAGCAGAGCATATTCGAAACAGAGCTTGGAAAGATCGAGAAACCAGAGAACGAAAAAACGATGCAGATCTTCGTGAAAACTTTGACGGAGAAGACGTTAACTCTTGAGGTCGAGAATAGCTACACCATTGACAATGTCAAGGCTAAAATCCAAGACAATGAAGGTTAATATGTATAATGTGTTCTGATAAAATTGTTCATCATATCAGTACAGTCTATTTTTCTCTAACCTCTAGCTAGCCTTTCTGAAGGTTGTGTCTGATGGCCGTCTCAAATGTTCTATCGTTTTAGTTGTGTAATTAAGTTTACGTGTGCTTGTTGTTTATGTATAGGAATTCCATCTGAGCAGCAGCGGTTGATGTTTGCCGGGAAACAACTTGAAGATGGACGAACTATGGCAGACTACAACATCCAGAAAGGTTGCATGTTTACCTGTTTAATTTGTTTGCTGCATAATTTCTGACTGATTATAATATGGACTAATAATCATAAACATTGTTATCATCATTCTAATCCGGAGTAATAATAATAATAATAATAATAATAATAATAATAATAATAAAGCTTTGAAGCAGTAATAACTGTTGTGATCGAGTGTGTTCGTTGTGTTTTGGTGCAGAATCAACGCTTCACCTGGCGCTGAGTCTCAGGGGAGGGGGACGTGGCACAATCAAGCTTCCTCCAAATCTTAAGGATTTGGCTCGAAAATACAACGAGAACAAGCAGATCTGCCGCAAGTGTGTATTTATTTGTCTCGATCTGTGCGCACAATATATATATGCACTGCGCGATGTTCATATTTCCTAATCGATCAGTGTGATCTTGATTGAGCTTATTAATATATTACTGCGTATATATTACTCATTAGCATTAAATTGATGCATTTTTGTATTTGTTTATTTTTCCGCAGGTGTTATGCTCGCCTTCCTCCGAAAGCCACCAACTGTAGGAAGAAGAAATGTGGCCACACCAATAAGGTTAAATTTCCTGTGATAACTCCGGTACCTTTCTAAAAAATGGGGTATCGTACCTACCATTCATTTGATTGGACCACACCACTTTATCTTTTTAATTTACATTTAAATAATTCAACTGTTACATTCTCATTGGTCCATGTGGACAAAGGTATGGTACCTAATGGGTACCTAATGTGTACCATAGAATCTACCTAAATTTCCTACTTGTACCACTCGATCACTCATACGGATTATTGGAGTGCTTGTGATTTTTTTATGCATGCACTACTTTTTCTAATACATTTTACAGAGAAATAATACGCGAGTATTATATTTTCTTTCAATGACTGTTTTATACGCAGTACAACCAAATTAAAACTAAATTTTGGTTAGGTTGATGTTGTTCATACTATATACTCCCTCCCGCAGTCCCAATTTGTAAGATATGCTTTCTATTCACATGTTCAATACAAATCACTCTTAATTTCTTACTTCATAAATCACAATTTTATCAAATTTGATTCTAGTTTTTGCTACTTTGTAAAGCTTTTATTATATTTTCTTAAAATGTACTACCTCCGTTCCCATTATAACTTCCAAATACTTTTGGCACAAAGTTTAAGATAGTGGATATTGTGTGGTGGAGAGTTGTGCAGAGGAGAGAGAAATGTGTAAGAAATGTTGTGAACCACAAATTCTTTACCAAAAAGGGAAAATGGAAGTTTTAATTGGAACGGACGAAAAAAGAAAGTTGGAAGTTTATTTACGAACGGAGGGAGTAATTTTTTCCCCTGAAAGTATTTTGAGTGTGGAGAGAAATCTGTTTGCTTTACCGTTGATCAAACATCGTAAACCGTAAATAGTCTTACAAAGTGGGACGGAAGGAGTGTGTAGTAGTGTAGTACTACCTCTGTCCCGAAAAAATTTGTCATATATATTCATTTTTCTTGGTCAACGATGGTAAACTTTGGATAAAGTTGATTTCCATTGACTAAGAAAAGTCAATTTAACTAACTCTTTCGGAGTACGTACTACGTATTACAGAGTATTTATTTATTTAATTATTATAATAATAATCCGTAGGAATTATTACGGAGTATTACTATAATTATTGTTAGCCTGGATTCCGACTAAATCGTCTCAGCTTGAAGCAAAACTTCTGTTTTTAATGTTGCAGTTGAGGCCCAAGAAGCCATTTGAGTCTAAGTATGGCAACTTTGAGTAGAAGAACTGAAGAGCCAATATAATGATTAATGCATTTCGATCTGGTCAACTCTCTTATTATGCATGTAAACTGCAGACTTCTATATTAGGGGTAATATGGGATGTTACTTTATTTCAAATCATCGATGATCTGAGTTGGATATTTCGTTGTTTAATACTACTATATATACTCCGTTCGTATATACTATGTATATGTGTATGATTTATTATAGCTTGTCAGTTGTCATTTGCCTTTCACCCATTTCGCTTCGTTCGGATCTATACATTTTTTCGTATTGATGAATGATACTGTGTATAGTGTATAGGATATGTAGTACACTAGTACTTGGTATTTTATAATTTACTTAGTCATCTTTGACTTTTTCAATCAAAAGTACTAAACTTTGATCAATTATTTAAATCAATATATTTATGCAAAATTTAATAATTTTATACTTTTGTGATAGTATTTTTAACAAAGAACATTTCCATATATCATTTTCATATTATTAATACTTTGTCTATATAAACATATAATCGGTCAAAGTTAGACGTCATTGATTGGAAAAATCAAATTTGACTAAGTAAAATGGGACGGAGGAAGTATATTTTAACTCCAATGCAAATACTAATGATGGATAGTGTACTCGGGGGTAGCTTATCCGAGGGGTTATTACGGAGAGTAATAAGAGAGAAGTCAGAGCAAGTAAATATAGAGAGAGAAAGTATGTTATAAAGTGTGGAGCGTTTTCAGTGTTTTTGACTTGGTTACAAATGGGGAAAAGGGGTGCTATTTATAGTAGCAATAAATGCCAGACAGGGACACGTGTCAAGCGTCCATTGGCCGAGAGGTCACCTCAACTGGTTGGCGCTGGCAACCGCATGTGGCCGCATCTAATGCGGCTGTTGGATGGGACGTTGTACAGGGTACGGTGATCTGTACGCATGTGACGCGGATATCATGTCGGGAAAGGTGCCCTCGGCTGTAGAGGACTAGCCGAGGGCTCTGAGTACCGGGGACCCCCTTGGTGCCGAGGGCTCCAGGTGCCGAGGGCTAGTGATTTTCGCCGTTTTTCCCAGTAACTTTTAGTTTGCTTGAGAAACCCGTTCTGTGAGAGTTTAGAGCCTTCGGCCAGGGGGCCGAAGGCACCCCTGGTGCGCATTGTGGGCTGCTTGGTACTCTGGGCGCCGTGATTTGGGCCTGTTGGACCTTCTGGGCCTGTTGGGCCTTGTTTGGAGTAGTAGGAGTCTGTGGGCCGGAGGTTCCCGGGCCATATACTCCATCAGGAGTCCCTCACTCCTTTTGCCGAAAGGTACTTGAGGGAAAAGGAGTAATTTGTGTTTGTCCCCTGTCGTTGTTCCGTTGTAATCTCTGAAGTTGGTGAGGAGTTGTTGCTTGCATGTCCCTGCCGAAGGCAGTCCCTCAGTTACTCACATGTCGGGACTTGAGGGATTGCTTTGCCATTTGTTGGAATTTTTTCACCATTTTTTGTAATTTAATGATTTTCCCGAAGGGGTTCTCCAGTCCCCCACTCCTTGAGGCACTTGTAAAGTGGTGAAAAGGAGTAGAGTTTAGTCCGTTGTAGCATGGGGCCGAAGGCTGACGCTTTTCGTTTCATTTTGGGGGGATGCCTCGTTAAAAACCTCATTAGGAAAAACCCTGTGGGAAAAATCCTAATGAGGGAAAAAGAGTGCACCGAATTCCCCCAACGATGAATCGAAAACGTGAAACCTTGGTTCAAAATGGAGAACAACGGTAATGCCGAAGGCTCTCCTTGTTCGGAGGGCTCATGTGTTGATTAGCCGAAGGCTTGCTGTTGATGTCCCGGGAGGTGCCGAGGGGCCCCCCTCAATCTGGGGATCGAGGGCGTGATGGATGAGGACAGTAGTTGAATTGTTACCGGGGTGTCCCCTGCTTGTTGATTAGTTGGTGATGAGGATATCCGAGGGCTCCCCCATTACCTGTGTGCCGTAGGCTATCCGTCAATGGGGCATGCTCCCCGGGGGCTACCCAGCCCTTACAATGCTGAGGGGGAATCCCCGAGGGGTGGCCTGATATGCAGCCTTGGGCTTCTGAAGGAGTGATCCCGAAGGCATCTGTTATGTACTGTGTGGGGGCATAACCCGGGAGCGTCTCCAGGTAAGTGTGCCCGGAGGCTCCCCTTGATGAAGTGGAGTGAAGTAAAAAGAAAGTTCGGGGGCTCCCAGACTATAGCCGTTGGAATATGTAACGTCAGGATATAGCCGTTGGAGGGGGGTACACGTGGCGCGTGATGGTTGGTTGTCCGTGGGCGGCGTCACCGGTTGGGCGAAGACACGGCGTGTAATGATGACAGTCCATCCGGAGGCCCGGTTTCCAGGCCCAAGCCCGGATTCCAGCGCCTATAAATACCCCATGGCCGGCTTCCTTCCCCCTGTGCGAAATCCTTATAGCGAAGCTCTGCCAAAATTTCTAGAGAGAGAAACAGCAGCCCTCGATCAGATTCTAAGGTCAGTTCTCCATTCGCCCTTCACCTCTTAGCTAGCTGTCTTTGTGGCCTTAGATTAGGTGGGTAGCTTAGAGTACTTAGCGTCTCCGAACCCTCGACCTAGTATAACAATGTCTTCACAGAGTGATTCTCAAGACATCTCGGGGGCGCCCTCGATGGAGGATGAAGTCCTCTCAGATGTGGAGTCCTCAAACGAACAGTCCTCGGCCCAGGAGGACGTTGCGATGGCCGTAGAAGTGCAGAAGGAGCTGTTGGCTGAAGTTGAAGCCGAGGGCTTCGAGCAGGAGGTGGAAGACGAAGAGCTGGCCCTCGCCATGCAGGTTGCAGAGGAGGAGGAAGCAAAGGAGAGGACGAGGGTGACCGTGCCTGTCCTTCCCCCTCGGGGTGCTGGTGAGGCAAGTACCTCTCGGCCGCTGAACGCGGTTCCCATCCGGGTGGCCCCCGGAAAGAAGAAGGCCAAGGTAGCTGCTCCCAAGAAGAAGGGCAGCGTTGCAGATCAAGGGAAGCCCCTCGATATGCCCGAGGGGTACTCCTACCTGAACACCGCCGCCTTGGAAATAAGGTCGAAGGTTGATGCGGCGGACATCTACGTCACTCAGCTTCACGTGGGCCCCTCGGCCACCATAGTGACACCGGGTCCAGATGACGTACTCTCCTGGGCTCCCGAGGGCTGTATAGCGGTGCATGTTCTCTCGGTGTCCATGGGGCTCCGCTTCCCCCTGCACCCTTTCCTACGGGAGTACCTTCGGTTCGTGGGTCTGGTCCCCTGCCAGCTGACCCCGAACAGCCATTCCTACATTACTGGCTTCCTCCAGCTCTGCAAGTCCCGGGGGGTGACGCCTAGCCTGGACCTCTTCTTCCAGAGCTTCAATCTGTGCCGGGGGGCATGCGAATGCCGAGGGCTTCACAAATTTGCAGCAGGTGGCAATGTCCAAACTCTTCACTGAGGCGCCCTCCTCGAACAAGGGGTGGAAGGACCGATGGTGCTACGTGAAGCTGACCGAGAGCCCCTTCTCGAGGGAGTTGCGTGACCGTTTCAGGAGGCACGAGAAGAGGAGGAGCGCCACCCTCGAGAAAGACGGCAGGATTCTGGCCACGATCCCGGAGGGCTGGGACAAAAATATTACCATTAAGGAGTGCACCAAGGAGGAAGATCTCTACACCCTCGGGTTCCGGCGGTACCGCTTCCTGGGGGAAACAGATGAGAAGTTCCCGGTGTTTGAGGGAGCCTCCGGAGGTAGTGGCTGAGGGCACCCTCATTTTCATATCTTAGCACATAGTTTATCTGTTTGTTCTTTTATTTCTTGTGCCTTCTGTTAGTAACCCCTCGATTTTAACCCCATACTATTTTTGCAGGTATCCTAGTGAATATGATGAACGTCAAAGGCCTTGCCCGATTCAAGAACAAGCCGGCCAAGGATCCGAAGGGGTCGGACGCGGGCGGCCAAAAGCCCGTCGGTGCGTTTTTCAAGAAGCCCGAGGGCGATGCTGCTGCCGTGAAGAGGAAGACAACGGCAAAGGAATCCCCCCCGGCTAACAAGATATCGAAGAAGGGGGACACCACGAAGAAGGACCCCCCGGTGGTGATCGTGGATGATTGCCCCGCCTCCGGGGTGCACGAGGAGATGCCGGTGGCGAAGGTGCCGAGGGGTGTCCGGGAGCCATCTCTTGAGGTCCTTACGCTCTCCCTCCCGGCTGGTACGGCCGTGTTGAATGGCACAGCTGACCCGAGGGCGCTTCTGAGAGGTATAACCCTCGATATTGATAGGGCAGCCCTCGGGGCCGATGATGACCAAGCCCTCGAGGACAGGATCCTCCCGTCTTCCCTCACGGTAAGTCTATGACAGTTATCTTTCTCTTCTTTACTTCGAACTAGGAAATCATGTTCGGCCCTGCTAACTCCTTTATTTTTGCAGACCTGCATTGCCCTCGGAGAGCAGGCCCGACGGCTGGAGGAATGGCGTCTCCACAAAGCTGGGCAAGACACAAAGATGAAGGAGCTCATTCTCAAGGACTCCAAGGCCACGAAGCTGATGGCCCAGCTTGAAGAGGACCTCCAGCTTGCGAGAGCGGAGGCTGGAAAGCTTAGAGAGGAGAAAGCCAAAGCTGAGGAGGCTGCTGCGGAGGCTGCAAAGAAAGCCGCCGAGGAGGCCGAGGCCGTCAGAGCGAAGGCTGTCATCACAGCCCGGGAGGAGGCCATCTCCGGGTTCCTGGATGGGGGGTGGAAGGCCGAGGGACACAAGGAGTGGCTGTCCTCGGTTGTGGAGGCCCCAGTCGATGAGTGGTGCGAGGGCCCGGGCGAGGAATGGATGGCCCGAAAGGGCAAACAATATTATGATGGGGGTGAATTTTTCACCCAAGCCCTCATCTACCGGAGGATGGCTCGCCACTTGAAAATTGAGCCGAAGGACTTCGACCCGGCGGCATACGGGCTTCCCCCCTGCAGCCAGACATCCATGTTCCTCTCCCCTCTGATGTCGAGAGGCCAGACCTGGAGGACACCGAGCTCCGGAAGGAAGCCGAGGGTGACGAACCTGAGGCCGATGCAGAGGTCACTTCGAAGCCGTCGGAGGAGGCGGCCCCCGGGAATGATGTTGTTTGATTTGTGTTCTGTACTTAGCAATTGGAACACACTTTGTAATGGTCACATTCTTATGCTTTCGGCCCCGGCCATCATTGTAACAATCACATTTATTCTTCTTTTTGATGATTTGATGAATGTTAGCCCTCGGGCCTTGTGTATTTGACTTGCTTTCTTTAATTTACTTCCTCTCGAATGTATGCCGTCGTTCTCTCTTGAGTGTATGCCTTCGCCCTTTTTGAATGTATGTTTAGGACTTAGAATATTTTCTTCCAAGTGCGGTGCTTCTTGTAGCCCTCGGTTACTAGTAACCTTTAGTTACTTTAACGTTTTACCGGGGGCACAATGTCCAGGACTTAGAAATATTTCTAAGTGTTTGTTCATCTGTTGGCCCCCGGCTGATCTTCCCTTCTGGTTCCGTGTAGCCTTCGTGCGATGGCCGGAGGTGAGGTGCTTAGGACTTAGAGAATTCTTCTAAGTGCTTGAATACAGTCATAGCCTTCGGTAGTTGGGCACCCTTTGCTAGATGTATGACCGAGGGCCCAACAATAGTTAGGACTTAGAAAATTTTTCTAAGGGTAGTCTTACCAAGCCTTCAATCGTGTGACCCCTCGGGTTGCAGGGAGATTCGGGACTTAGAAACTTGTCACCGAGGGTAAGATCTTTTGGGACTTAGAAATTTTTCTAAGTGTAGCACACCATAGGGCCTTCGAGTGTTTGTAGTTCAATTGTTGTGTGATGATTAGGTTGAGAACCCAATCCTTAGGACTTAGAAAAATTCTAAGTGTAGTTTCCCCTTGGAAGCCCTCGGCCGGTAGCCTCCTTCCTGATGTGTGAATATTGGGCCGAGGGTCCAATACGTAGGACTTAGAAAATTTTCTAGGTGTGTTGTAGATGTTGAACCTTCGCTCAGTGAGGAGTCTGTCCGAGGGGCAAATATTTAGGACTTAGAAAATTTTCTAAGTGGATCTCAAATGTTGAGCCCCCGAGTGGTCCTTATAGGAGCCCTCGAATCATTGGGTGAACCTTCCTGTTGCGTGGATATTTGGTCGGGGGCCAAATATTTAGGACTTAGCCTTACTTCCAAATGCATGGTGTCAAGTAGCCCTCGGCCACCGCATGTCCTTAGCTATCTGATGATCAGGTTGAGGATCCAATCTTTGGGACTTAGGAAAATTCCTAAGCGTGGTTTCCCATCGGAAGCCTTCGGGGTGATATCCTTCTCCCTGATGTATAAGTAGCTGTTGTCTGAGGGAAAAATATGTAGGACTTAGAAAATCTTCCAAGTGCTGTTGCATCACGTAGCCTTCGGCTATCATGGTCCCTCAGTTGAAATATTGATCAGGCCGGGGGCTCAATCTTCAGGACTTAGAAAAATTTCTAAGTGTTGCTTCCTTGCTGGTGGGATATAGGTGCCCTCGGCATTCACTTGAAGGGTTCTTGAGCTGCCTTAGTCAGTTGCATCCTCTTTTACAGGGTAGGACCCCTCGGTAGCAATGGACGACCGATGGTAGGTGCCCTCGGCCCTCATTTGAAGTGGACTTAGACGTTTAGTGTACTTGAGACAGTCCAATCCCTTTACGTTGTTGAGTAGTAACCTTCGGGAAATAGGAGCCTTCAGTTACCGGAGGTGTTTCCGTAGGGAGCCCTCGGTATGCTGTGATTTGTTGGAGTGTCGTACTCATTGATTTCTCGATGAGTCTACTCCCCTTCACCCCCTCTGTTTTTTTTTAGTTGGTGGTGAAGGGAAGGGATCAAGAAACTTGGTTTCTTGGTAAGGCTGGGCCTATCAGGAGACCATCAGAATACACCAATGGCTCTCCTCCCTCGGGTTAACCTTCCGAGTTCCGAGGGGATCGAGGGTCGTTTCCTGGGCACAAGATATGGTGGTCTGTAACCTGCCTCCCCTTGGGGGATGGCGCGGAAAGCGCCTCATTTTTGAAAGTCGTCCCCTCGGCGCTAGACATAGTCCGTGGCCTGCCACACCCTTGGGGTGGTAGCGCGGGGAGCGTTTCGGTTTGGAAGTCGAATCGTGGACATTTCTCGTGCCTGTCATACCCTTGGAGTGATGACGCGGAAAGCGTTCCGTTTTTGAAAGTCGAATCCTGGGCATTTTTCATGCCTGTCATACCCTGGGGGTAGTGACGCGGAAAGCGTTTCAAGGAAGGGTTTTCATTTGCACACTAGTTGCAAATGGCCGGGGGCACTACGTGTCGCCGGCACTGATGGTGGCGCCTTCGGTATATGCGTCCTCGTGGGGTACGGCTTTTAGAAACAAAACTTGGTGTTAGTTTCGATATGTAGCCCCCCCGGTACTTGGTACCGAGGGGTCTTCTGTAGGAGCACTTAGTGTTCTTCTCCTATTTGACGTTGATGGGTGAGATGTGTACCCCCGGTACTTGGTACCGAGGGGTCTTCTGTAGGAACACTTGGTGTTCTTCTTTTTGATGGTGGAGATGTGTACCCCCGGCACTGGGTGCCGAAGGGTCTTGAAATGAAACACTTGGTGTTTTCACTGTTGTTGAAGGTGTTGATGGTGTCCGCCCTCGGCACTTGGTGCCGGAGGGGGTTCATCTCGTGGTGAGGCCTGGGGCTTGTAGTTGGTATGAGGGCTTGGCCGCTCATAAGTGTTTTGCGGTTGTTCTTGGTGTCTTGAATGTGTCTTCATTCTTCAAAATTAGAGGCCTTGGGCCATAGGATAGTACATTCACTAGTTATGAGGGCTTGGCCGCTCTTACATTATTGATAAAATTTAACTAAGTGGTGTACATTCCAGTGCCTAGGGATCTCTTTCCCGTTGGGACGTTTGAGCTTGTAAGTCCCGGGTTTGATGATGGCTGTTATAATGTAGGGACCTTCGAATTTTGGTGCCATTTTGCCTCCCTCGGTCGGTTGGCTGGCTTCCCTCCTCCGGAGGACATAGTCCCCCACTTGGAATTCTCTGGTGCGAACCTTGGCGTCGATGTAGCCTTTGACTTGCCTTCGGTAGTTCTCTGCCCGGATGAAGGCTTGCTCCCGGCGTTCTGAAAGGAGGTGGAGGTCGAGGGACATGTTGCTGTCGTTGACCTCGGGGTCATATTGGATCACCCTCCGGGTGGGGAGGGTGACTTCCGTAGGAGCTTTGGCTTCAAACCCGTAGCAGAGGGAGAAGGGTGTTTCACCTGTTGCTCGCCGAGGGGTGGTGCGGTAGGCCCAAAGGACGTTGTGGAGTTCTTCTACCCAGCCACCGCCCTCGGCCTCCAGCTTCTTTTTGAGGCCCTCGAGCAATGTCCGGTTGGCGTTCTCTACTTGCCCGTTGCCTTGAGGGTAGGCAACGGAGGAGAAGGTGTGTTTGATGCCCCATGCCTCCAGAAGGGCACAGAAGGGGGCTGCCTCAAATTGTGTTCCGTTGTCGGAGATGATCTGTTGGGGGACGCCAAACCTTGTGAGGATGTTCTTGAGGACGAAGTGATGGCACTTCGCCTCCGTGATGCTGGCGAGGGGCTCAGCCTCCACCCATATGGTAAAGTAGTCGATGGCCACAATGATGTACCTGTTGTTGGAGGTACCCCTCGGCAGAGGGCCCACGAGGTCTATCCCCCATCGAGAAAAGGGGACGGATGTGCTGATGGAGGCATAGTTGACCGCTGGCCTGCTGGGGGCTTTCTGGAAATGTTGGCATGCGGTGCACCTTCGGGCAAGGTCAGCACAATCCCTGGCCATGGTTGGCCAGAAGTAGCCCTGGAGAATGAGCCTTCGGGACATGGAGAAGGGTCCCTGATGCGCTGAGCAAGTGCCACTGTGCACTTCCTCCATTGCGACCTCGGCTTCATCTTGATGAAGGCACCGAAGTAGCATGCCATTGTAAGACCGTTTGTAGAGCCTCCCGTCTTCGCCTCCCGTCTCATTCTCGGGTAGCTGCCCTGTGGAGATGAAGGTGATGATATCTGAGATCCAGTCCTCTTGGCGTTGCTGTATGTTCATGACGGGGCTTGCATGGATACTTGAGAGACTGAGTTCCTTAATTTTAGCAATCTTGGAGATGTGCTCGGGGGAGTCGGCCGAGAGCTTAGATAGTATGTCGGCCTCGGAGTTCTGAGCCCTCGGTATTTGAGTGAGAGAGTGTGCCTCAAATACCTTAAGCAACTCCTTGGCCGCCTCCTTGTACTGTTTCATTCTTCCCTCCTTGGCCTCATACTCCTCGGAGATTTGGCCAACGACCAACTTGGAGTCGCATTTGATATGGATCTGCCGAGCCTTCATGTTGGCAGCCAGCCGAAGGCCACATAGGAGGGCCTCATACTCGACCTCGTTGTTGGAGACTCTGAAGGAGAAGCGGATTGCATAGTAGGCCTTGAAGCCCTCGGGAGTAACGAGGACTACCCCTCCCCCGCATGCTCTGGTCGCGGAGGAGCCGTCGGTGTAGAGGGTCCACTAGTCGTCCGAGGTAGCCGAGGGCTCCCCGTCCGTGGCTGCCCTTGCGGTACACTCCGTCACAAAGTCCGCCAGGGCTTGGCCCTTGATGACAGGCCTCGGACGGATGTCAATGTTGTACTGGCTTAAGAAGATAGCCCATTTCACCATGCGGGAGGAGCTGGTGGGGCTCCTCATGAGGGCGCCGAGGGGTTGATGAGTGAGGACCTGAACCGGGTGAGCCTGGAAGTAGTGGCCCAACTTCTTGACGGTCCAAACGATGGCTAACACCATTTTTTCCACAGGAGAGTACCTGAGCTCGGCCTCCCTTAGGGTCTTGCTTACATAGAAGATGGCATGTTGGATGTCGTCTTCCTCCCGGATGAGCACGGAGCTGATGGCTG